AGCCTGTCAGAATTTAGCTGACTCTGCAGTTTTTGGAAAGAAAATGCTATGCAGCTCTGTGATTGGTGGTCCAGCTATAATTTCACAGAGGGTTGAGTAATAGTAATTCAATGAGAGACTAATTTCAAATGACAGTAAAATTGACCAATCATATCTTCCCTCTATGGGTCGGCTTTGTTATCGCTAACTTTATGACAAGTTCCGCCCGTTGTGAGGGACACCAATCACAAGCTAATAAGCTAGCTGGCTAGCTTATGGGGTGTGATTTGGTTTACTTTGGTTTACACAATGGCAGCCGCCGCGAGTAACATAACCACTAGTGTGGAGGACATTGTTTCTGATTTATTATCTATGATGTTTTCTAGGTTAACTTTTAATAAAAATGTGTGATGATGTGATTATTTGTCAGGAGAATTTGCATTTTGCTGAAGAGATAGCTGTTTTTAGTTTTGGTGATAACTCTCACTCTCCCCGTGCATTGCATTGCTAAGGCTTAATTTGTTTTCAGAGCTGGAATTGTCATAGGTAACTTTTGCAGTAGTATAGAGAGGACACAGTAAGCTAAGCTGGTGGTTTGCTTTTTTCCAGACGGGGGGAAGGGGGTCAGAGAGCCAAGGTTTAAGAGTCACGGTTCGCTACTGCCTGCCTAATGGAACAGCTTGCTTATGAGTGATCCATGACATAGTAACAAACCACCATTTTTGTTTGCAGGTGAGGAGTGTAAGAGAAAATGGAAAGCATTGAGGTACAAGAACAGAATGATGGAGGGGCAAAGAATAGTGGTATGTCCGGAAGAGAAAGGAAAACAAAATGGAAGTATGAACAGGTTATGAGCTTCTTCCAGCCTTTTGTGAAGGAGTGTGAAGCAAGTGGAAACATAGATAACAACAGGTGTTGAGCCCCTGGCAGTCCCAGGCATGACTGAGGTCTCAGGGTCCCTGGAGGAGGTGAAGGAGGTGTCCCTCCCCAATATATCCTCTCCAGCCCTCCCAGGTTATCTCACAGCCCACTGCAGGAAGACGGCAGCTTGCTTCAGGAAAACAGCAGAGGCAGACGGCTTTCACACTTCTGTCCTCAGCCCCCCCTTCAGACAGGAGCGGGATCCTGAGGTACTATTCCTCTTGAATCTGGCCCCAATGCCCAATGCCTATCAAAACACATTTAAATCTTTTTGTGCTTGCACAGAGCGCAATGAATTAATGAATTGGTTTAATGAATTAAACCAATAATCTTAAGTTGCTGTAATATTTTTTTGTGAAATGCTTTAATGTTACTGAATGTGATCTCCCCACTGTTCATGGATTACACAAAATAGTATCTAAAAAATTTAAATCCAATGAAACTTAGAAAAAAAGTTAAAAAGCACAACATTTGTCTGTTGTGTGGCATGGTGGCCAAGTGGTAAGGTGTTAAGGTGCGAAGTTGTCTGCCCTTTGTGCTTCCTCGTCACACTTAGGTAGGTACGAACATTGCATACGTGTTCTGCAGCAATGTCATTACTTACATACACATAGAATTATTGAGAATGACGATATTCTTAACCTCCTTGAAGAAATCCAACGAGAGTAAGAAAACGTAGGTATGGACAAACATTGCCTTTGTATTCTCCTATTTTAATAGTTGCGATTGGTGATGTTCTCCATGAAGAAATCCAATGAAACTAAGAAAAAAAGTTTAAAAGCAACAATATTTATTTTGAGGCATGGTGTGCTTTCTCTTTACACTAAGGTTTGGACACAATTGCCATCATATTCTACTATGTAAGTAAGTAAGTGAGTAATATTTATTTCTAAAGCACATTGAAGAAAAAAAGTTACAAAGCACAAATTTTGTTTTTTGTGTGGCATGGTGGCCAACACTGCGTGAAAAGTGGTGTATCTGAAAATATCTAAAATAACATGTTGTAGGACAGTGGTTCCCAACCTTTTTTGTCTTGTGTACCCCCTGAGCCTTTTTGTAATACCATGAGTACCGCCTCACTCATACGTGCTGATGATTCTTCAAAAGTAGAACGTAACTGATTATTGAATGAAAATAACTTTATTTCATCTCCTTAATTTGAACATCGAATTTGAACTTAAATCAATACAAAAAATAAAAATGAATATGTTGCCTTGAAAATAAATAATATAATCAAAAAAAAAACATATGAAATCAAAATAATCAACTTATCTTTGCTATATACAGTATATCTTGTAACGTTTAGGCTTAAACCTGGAGCCCCTTTGAATAAGTCCCCTTTAAACAGGCATTTAAACTGACGCGCCCCGTCATCGCAGCTGCTCCATCAGTACAGATGAGACTGCAGGTTTTCCACTGCAGATCATGTTCTTTGAAGAAGCTGTCGATAACCTGGAACAATTCTTCCCCAGTTGTCTTTCCTGGCAGCGTTTTGCAAAATAAAATATGCTCGTTTATGTCCGACGCATCTTTGTAACGCACAAATGACAGGAGCTGCGCTTCTCCACTCATATCTAGGCTACATTGATGTAGCCTATGTAAGGAATAATGCACTATAAGCAAGTCAGTTATGAGAAAATAACCGCTACCGTTTACCCCCTGAAGTGCGCTTATTTTCCATAACTCACTTGCTCCCAGTGCATTATCCCGCTTATATCACAGCTAACTGGCCAAGTAATGAATGCATATGCTATAAACAATGTTTAATGTCATTTCATCCAGCTGCAAAGCGAACTGACCGGCTAGTTTTATTTTGTTCACCACTTGTCCAATTATATTAACAGACATATCATTGATCCGACAGGATACGGTGTTATTCGACAGGGGAACTTTCTTGAGTGCTTTGGCTGCTTTCTTGTCTATCATAATTTCGGCCAACACAGTCACTGTGGGGAGAATGAGCTCCTCAACAATTGAGTGAGGTTTTTTTGATTTAGCCACAAGCAGGGACACGGCGTAAGATGCCTAGAGTGCTTTGATTGACACATTTGTGGCTTTCATCATTACTGAGCAAGCGGATGTTTCAGCCATTTATCCATAGCGCAGACCTACCAGTATTTTTCTGGCTGCAGGTAAGTAGCTGTTTTTGATTGTGGGATTTTGGCACGGTTGTGCCACAGACTATTGTCTCCCTAGGGAAACTACTATCATTTTTGATGGGATAATTTTTTTTTTACTTGTCACCTTGGAATTCCACGTACCCCCTGCAGTTCCCTCGCGTACCACTAGGGGTACGCGTACCCCCGGTTGGGAAACACTGTTGTAGGAGGCCTCTGATGCAGAAATTAAAGGGTAACCATTAGTCATTTATTCAATTCTGGTCTAAACTCACATTTTTAACAGAGAAAACACATCTAGAACTTAGTTATAGTGAATCATCAAATGCATTATATTTCTATTAGATAGCAGAGACATCTGGGTGTTCTCTGGCTTTTTATAACAAAGGAGTAACACTAATTAATGATATAAAACAGTTTATTGTAAAATTAATTGAACATATATAAAATCTACAAAAACAAACAGTAAAACAAATATAAACAAAGGAAAAATATAAACATTAAATAGACTTTGCTTACAATTATACCATTGTGAGCATGGAATAACCACAGATACTCTCTCCTTAGTATGATTTAACTGCACAGTTGTAGTACTGAGTAAACACCTGCTTGTAATGTGCTTAACAGGCAGGAATGATGGTGCAGTGTCAGTCTCTGTCCCCAGAATAACCCAAACCTCCACAGGCTTTCCAAAGTAATGCCTGCCTGGGTGAGTGTTGTTGAGCCATCATTTTTGCCACTACATGCTGAATAATAGATTCTTGCGTTTTTACAGAAATTGTTTCACAATTACAGGATGCGCCTCTGCAGTTGGCTCAAGGACTGGCTCTTCAAAGCATTTTGCAGACACACATGCAGACCTTTCAGCCCTACTGCTTACACAAGTCAACCCAAGGCTTCTTACTCTACTGCAAACCTTTGCTTATTGGCCAACCTGTGAGACTGAGCTGTCAGGATATACATTTTTGTACATTAACAACAATGTTTGGAAGTGCTTTATATTAAGGTCCATGTAATAAGTGTTAGTTAATAGGTAATAAGGCCCTTAATAAGCATTAGTTAATAGGTAATAAGGCCCTTAAAAGTCCTTATAATATGCTTATTAAATAGGTAATAAGGGCATTAATAAGTGTTAGTTAATTGGTAATAAGGCCCTTAATAAGCATTAGTTAATAGGTAATAAGGACCTTATAAGTCCTTATATTATGTGTATTTATTGATAACTAAGCTTTTTTTCTTGCTTTATAAAGATTAATACATACTTTAGTATGCACTTATTAACAACTAAGCTTTTTGTGTTGCTTTAAGATTAATACAGGCGTTATTATGCCTTTTTTAACAGTTAACTATGCTTTGTGCAGCTACCGGATCTAAAGCGAGAACAATGCCTTATTAAGGTTAATAAAGCCTTTATTATGCACCTATTAACAGTTAAATATGCTTTTCGCAGCTCCCCGGTGTAGAATGAACACTACATGTGGTCAAGCTTGGTAAAATGTGAAAAAGAAATTACATAATTACAATGTTTTAGTGGTGAATCACAAAAACACACTAAGACAGCTTTTTTGAAAACTTTTTTTTTTAGTTTTCATCACTTTCATGTAAATGCTACCACATGTGGCCACAGACACGATTGTATAAAACATATATATACATATAAGTATATAAAACATAGGCTCAAAGAGGCCTTTGAAAAACCTTGAGGTAAACTGTATATTGTAAAAGATATTCTGAAAACGTTATGAAACACCAATATCATCCACTTGCAGACGAGGAAGTTACAGACATACACACGCGCCACCAGTTTGCCACTTGCATGCACCGAAATTTCCAGTTTTACAATTTGCTTCAAAATAAAAAATCTTAAATGAAGGATCTGATATGCAGCACAACATAAATATTCATATTCTCCTATGTGAATACTTAACAGGTTGAGTTTTGCGATTTTAATTAAAAAGCACAATTCCCGTCTAGTGTGATGTAGTGGCCAAGTGCTAAGGCATCGGTCTCAGAAATCAAAGATCATGGGTTAAAAGCCCATCCTTGCCTATTAGAATAGAATAGAAGCTTTATTTGTCATTGCATAAAATACAGTATTTTATGCAATGACACAACACAATGAAATTCAAGTTGCCACTCTTGGTCAGTGCTTTTTACAAAAGAGCAATAAATAGTTAATAAATAAATAAATAAGTAAACATACAGAAAAAAACATCCCCTACATGCTCCGCACTCTCTCTTTCTCTCACATACACTCTCACCCAGCCCCAAGCGCAGCACAACATTTTCCCACAGAAATACCCTCCAAACCCTCCCAGACAGAACACCCTCCAGCACACATGAGTAAAACTAGTCGCAGCCTAATAGCAAGAAAAGTGCCTAGTGCATAGGTGCACAGAATGCAATATTGTCCAGAGGTGTTTGTGGTTGATCATGGCAACGGAGGGGAAGATTGGGGGGGTGGGGGGTTGGCCATAGTTTGCAGAGGGTTCTTTTTGTGGTTTAGTGAACGTATGGCCCAGGAGAAGAAACTGTTGGTTAGTCTGGCGGTGCGTGCATTTATTGACCTGAAACGCCTGCCGGAGGGGAGCAGGTTGAACAGGTGGTGGGCAGGGTGGGCAGAGTCCTTGAAAATGGATCTGGTCCTGTTGAGGCAGCGGGACTCGGCAAGCTCTTCCAGGGAGGGCAGAGGGCAGCCGGTAGAAGGACACCAGCAGCTTCTGTTTGAGATGGTTTTTCCTTAGAATTCTCAGGAAGTGTAGTCGCTGCTGGGCCTTCTTAGTTATTGCTTTGGTGTTGATGGACCAGGTGAAATCTTCGGAGATGTGTACCCCTAGGAATTTGAATGATGACACCCTTTCCACGCAGTCGCCGTTCAGGTGGAGTGGGGCAATTGCAGTGCGGTGGCGTCTGAAGTCTATGATGATTTCCTTAGTTTTTGTTGTGTTGAGAAGTAGCTTGTTGGATGAGCACCAAGTTGAGAGTTTCTGGACCTCGGCTCTGTACTCAGACTCATCGGCGCCTGAAATGAGACCGACCACAGTGGTGTCGTTGGCAAATTTTATGATGTGGTTGGAGGGGTGGGAAGGAGAGCAGTCCGATGTGTAAAATGTATACAGGGGTGGGCTCAACACACAGCCTTGGGGGGAGCCAGTGCTGAGTGTGAGTGGGGGGGAAAGATGGTGGCCGAGTCTCACTTGTTGTGGTCTGTTGGAGAGGAAGTCTTTAATCCAAGCGCAGGTGGAGGGAGGGATGTGTAGGTCCAGGAGTTTTTTAATAAGAATGTCCGGGATTATTGTGTTGAAGGCTGAGCTGAAATCTATGAAGAGCAGTCTTGCATAGTTGCCAGGGCGATCGAGGTGGCTCAGCGTTGAGTGGAGGGTGATGGCAATGGCATCCTCAGTGGAACGGTTAGCCCTATAGGCAAACTGGTGGGAGTCAAATGATGGAGGGAGGAAGGCCTTGATGTGCTGGGCAACCAGCCTTTCCAGGCACTGCATTGCCACAGATGTGAGTGCAATGGGCCTGAAGCCGTTCAGGCTTTTGCAGGCAGATGTTTTTGGAACTGGGATGATAGTGGCAGATTTCCAGCAGGATAGGACGATGGCTAGGGACAGGGAGATATTGAAGATCTTAGTGAGAACCCCTGAGAGTTGGACTGCACAGGCCTTGAGTACTTTTCCTGATACTCCGTCGGGTCCGGCAGCTTTCCTCAGGTTCACTTCCCTCAGTACCTTCCTCACCTGATGTTCCTGGAGGGATAGCGAAGTGTAGGTGAAGGCTGGGGGGGGGGGGGTGCTGGTTGTCCATTCACCTCAAACTGGGCAAAGAAGCTGTTTAATTCCTCTGCCATTGTAGCATCAGCGGAGGGAGGTGTGATGTTGTAGCCCTTGTAGTTGGTGATGTTTTGTAATCCATGCCACACTTGACGTGGGTTTCTATCTGTGATGTATCCCTAGATTTTCTTTTTGTATGCTACCTTAGCAGCTCTAATGCCCTTCTTCAGGTTAGCTCTAGATAAGCTGTAGAGTGCCCTGTCTCCTGACCTGAATGCTGAGTTGCGGTCCCTGACGAGGTGCTGCACTGCACTTGTCATCCAGGGTTTTTGGTTGGGGAATACCCTGAACCGTTTGGTGATGGTGGCATTTTCAACACAGAATGAGATGTAGGATAGGACAGTCTCAGTATATTCCTCAAGATCCCGGCTTTCAAAAAGACTCCACTCCGTGGTTGAGAAGCAGTCTTGGAGCTGGGAGAGGGCAACCTCAGGCAAGGTGTTGATCTTCCTAATGGAGGGCTTGCTTTTCCTGATGTCGGGGGTATAGGGGTATATAAGGTGCAGTGATAGGTGATCAGACTGGCCAATGTGAGGGTGTGGCTCAGATCTGTATGCATGCTTTATATTGCAGTAAACATGGTCAAGAGTGTTGTTCTTTCTGGTGGCACATTTCACATATTGGATGAGCTTAGGGAGGACAGCCTTTAAGCATGCTTGATTAAAATCACCGGCTACTATATGAACCCCATCTGGGTGGGCCTGTAGTTGTTTACTTATGCAACCATGAAGATAACTGAGGGCTATATTCACGTTAGCATCTGGGGGTATGTACACAGCCGTGATGGTAACAGCAGTTAATTCCCTAGGTAAGTAGAAAGGGCGGCAGATGACGGTTAATGCCTCGAGATGAGGGGAACAGTATTTGTGAGTTGCATGGCTTTGTGAACACTAGTCATTGTTGATGTAGATGCAGAGTACGCCTCCTCTGTTCTTACCAGAGTTGCTGTTCCTGTCGTGACGGTGAATGGTGCGGCCTGCTAGCTAGCTGCACTGAGTTATTGGGGATAGCAGGATGGAGCTAGGTTTCAGTCAGGATCAACGCACAGCAGTCCCGGACAAAGTTGTTGGTTGCTATCCGCAGCTCTAGGTCATCCATTTTGTGCACGATGGATCTTACGTTAGCAAGGAAGACACTAGAGAGCGGGGGTATGTTGTTGTGCTGTGACTGGAACACTGCTTCGGAAACCGATGCTAATCAGGTTTGCACAACTATATACACATTGTGCTTGGCAGAGTTCGCTATACATTTGCCACGTAAAACTAACTAAACATACTAAAAAGCACCTAAAAAGAGAGCTCCAAGCCTCTGCACTCACGCGTGCCGCCATCGCGACTTCCTCTTAAACAAGGAAGTTCTTATTAAAGTATGTATGAACATAAAATGCCATGTGGTCTACATTATGAGCTTTCACTTTACACTTTACAGTATATCCTCCTATGTAAATACTTCATGCAGGTTATATTTTATTTGAGATTTATACTTAACCTAGTCTGAAAATGACAAATTGAAAAGATAATACAGGATTTAATGTTCAGGGGAAAAAAGTAGCTGTTTTGAACAAAGCTCCTAAAAACGCTTTTTTTTCCCGACATTGCGTCATATGACATAACTTGGGGGAGTCGTTGACCTTGGCTTGGCCTCTGCTCAATGTGTAGTGAGTATGTTGGTAGTCAGTGCGAGCAGTTGAGATAGTGAGTTTCAGTATTGGTATTGCATTTCACCATTTGCCATGGTCAAGTATTGTGTTTGTGCAAGTTGCACAAACTACAGGCTGTCAGGACATTGAGTCCACACGTTTCCAAACAGGAAAAGGAACGGTGCTAGCTTTCGTGCCTGGGTGCGTTTCGTGCAGGTGAAGAGACAGGATTTCTCCACCGCGTCTGTTACACCAAATGCGGAGTTCAGGATGGGACGGAGTTCAGGATGGGATTTGGAAGCCAGGACCGGGTGAGACTGACCGGTGGGGCCGTTCCTTCAGTGCACACAGTGGCATCATCAAGTCCACCGTCAGTGGCAGCTTCTGGTTCTGCCACCAGCGGGAGTAGTGGTCACCTGTTAGAGATCCAGCTCGACAAAAACCTCAACTGTCTTGTTTTCTAACATTTGCTAACTTCCAAATTAGTCAGCATAATGATTCCAATAATGAGAAGCACAGTGTTGATACATACTCATTGTTGGGAAGAAGGCATAATGGCTATTGTTAGCCAGCATAAGCAACCATAAGAGAAGGCGTCTGTAACCTCAGTTTGCTAACATTACAACCCTGCAGTCTAGTTACAGCTTGGTGACATTCTTTACACAGCTTATACATTTGTCATTCATTTTCATGTGTAGTAATGTTGGTGTGTTATCAGGATTTGGGAGACGCTGCAAATAATGAAGGGACAGGTGTACCTAACATTACAGCCAGTGCTGCAGTGCCTGTAGACCCCTTTAACCTGTTACCTTCCACCACTGATTACTATACTCATAAGATGCGGCTGCGGCCATCAAGATGGCCGCAGCGTGAGTGGACGAGTCTCAAGCTCTAGTCTGATTACTGCTACTTTAGTAGCTCTACATGTTCTCCTTCAGCCTGATCCACAATTCCTGATCTGACATCTGCATCTTTACTAACAAAGTAAGCAAATAAGTCAACTTCAGCAACTACAACTGCGGTGTATTTCACTGCTTTTGACGTCCTTCCCACAATGGAGGACAGCCAGATCTCACTCCAAACTTTGTGGGAGGGCATTCAAATGAATGATTCAAACAAATGAAGACTGACATGCTGATGCACCTTGATGCAAAGGTTGATCCTATTCAGATTACTTTGAACAGCATTCAAAACTCTTTATCTACTCTGGGGGAACAAGTTCAACTATTAGAGCAGCGTACGGGGGCTAATGAGGACAATATACTTGAGCTTTCTGCACGTGTCCAGCGCCTGGAGAAAGATAATTCCTACCTTATGGACAAGGTTGATGACCTGGAAAACCAAAGCCGACGCTCTAATCTCCGCTTCATTGGGATTCAAGAGTCCGTTGAGGGTACCGACATTACTGACTTCATGTCCCGACTGATTCCTCAACTCCTGGGACGTGGCAACTTCACTGTTCCACCGGCGATTGAGAGGGCCCACCGCTCTCCGAGTGTCCGACATAATGACAGAGAAAGTCCCAGGGCGATCATGATCAAGCTCTGTAACTTTCAGGACAAAGTGAAAATACTT